CATGCCTGACCTCTCATGACATAGTCACAGTGAGATAGATAGATAGATAGATAGATAGATAGATAGATAGATAGATAGATAGATAGATAGATAGATAGGGTTACTGTTAAGCAGTATGAATAAGTTACATAAATATAAATGCGTCATGCTTAAACTCAGATCTCATTAGGTAGACAAATAGTCTCAAGCCCCTAAAGCATTTTAGATACAGGTCTAAACAATTTTGTAGCTAGCTTAAGATGGCAGCTACCAAATTTATTATCTTCATGTGCTCTCGGCAATTAAAAAAAAGAGCCTTTCCAAAAGCAGATCCCGGTTATACCAGTAAAAAACACAGGCGTAGGGGGTGCAGCCTGTGTGGCAGGGGCTGATAATGGGAACACGCTGTGCTGGGACAAGCTTGTCTCTTTACAAGGTTGTCAACTGTTCATCAAAGAACGCTCTCTCCTCATTGCCATCTATGTAGAGCGACCTCAACATTAAACAGAGATTTCTTCCTGATGGTCTGCCAGCTGACCCAGGCAGCTGGCAACCAGCTCCTCCTACCACAGGTGGCTGGAGCTAATGAGCTCCCTTAAAAGCAATAGAAGGCCATCAGGGTAGTGAGTGGCTGTAAAGCTAGCATTCAGGAAGCTAGGGCAGAAGGATCTGCTCAAGCAGGACTGTTAGTCCCTGTTTCAAAAATAAAATTTAAAAATAAAAAAAAAATCTGAAGCAGGGAAAGATTTCCTAGCTTGAACAAAAGGCAGCAGTCACAAATGGAAAAAGTGAGGACACTTTCTTAAAAATACCAAAAGACGTGTTAAGAATAAAAAGGCATCTCAAAAAAACAAAAACAAAAAAGCGAAAAGACAAGCCAGGTTTAGAGAAAGAGGGGTTTTTGTTTGTTGTTTTTTTTCTGAAGCAGGGTCTCACTAGTGGCCCAGGCTGTCCTCGAACAATCTTCTTACCCCCAGCTCCCAAGTGATAGGATTGTGGGTGTGTATCACCAAATCCATAAATACACACACACACACACACACACACACACACACACACACACACACATATATATATATATATATATATATATATATATATATATACATCTGACAAGGGAGTCAAAAGCAGATTATTTCTTACAATAAAATAAGAGGGATTCAAAGTGAGTAAAAAGTTGGGCATGGTACTTCATGCCTTAAATCCCAGCACTTGGGAGCCTGTGGTAAGAGAATGACCAGTCAGAGGCCAGCCTGAGCTACATACCAACTACAAAGCAAGCCTGACCCACCGCCTTAAAAAAAGAAAAGGTAAGATTTTAACAGGCACTCACAAAGGATATACAAGTATCAATGGCATCTACAGCATTCAGCATCACTACTCAATAAAAAAAAATGGTTTTTAAACCCACAAGGATCACCTCATACTAATTAGAATCAGTACTACTGGGAAAAAAAAACAGAAAATAACAAGCTTTGGTAAAGCTGTGGAGAAATCAGAACCTTCACATTATTGTTAGGAATGTAAAATGGTCTAAACACTATGAACAGTAAAGCAGTTCCTTAAAAAATGAAAAATACAATTCTTCCAGTCACTCTACTTTGTGCAGAGTGCAGAGCCTTCAGGAAGCATCTGTATCCTCACGTGTACAGCCGCGTTACTCTCAGTAGCCAGGTGGCACCACTCAAGAATCTCTGGACAAGCGAATATTCTACTCATAAAGCACCTACAGTGTCAAATTCTTAGCAGAAACTAGAATGTTGGTTGCCATGACAGCATGAGGGAATAAGTCATTACAGTTTATCAGAGTTTTGCTTTTACAATAATTCTTGTAATGCATAGTATGGATAGTTATTTAATAATGTGTTGTACCTAATGTCATTACCTATATACTAGAAAAAACAGCTTAATTGCATGTATATATTTTATCACAGTTTTAAAGTATGTATTTTTAAGCCTACAAAAATACCTCAATTCCCTCCTCAAAAATAGGCAAAATTCACTATAAAAGATGATGTGTGACTATAGTCTCCTGCTCCGGAAGCTGAGGATCACTTCAGCTCAGGCATTATACCCCAGGCTCCTCAGCAAGAACAAATACAATGAGAGCATGCCTGGGGGAGAGGGAGAGGGAGAGAGAGGGGGAGAGAGGGGGAGAGAGAGAGAGAGAGAGAGAGAGAGAGAGAGAGAGAGAGAGAGAGAGAGAGAGAGAGGTGGGGGGGCATTGCTCAAAATGTACAAAGGAATCAGAACTCTTATGCCCCACTGGTAGAATTTATATTGGTACAACCATTTTGGAAAACTGTCAACATCTTCTATCTACTGAATCTCAACACTCCAATCTAAGCATAAGTACCATACTCTCTTTACTTTGTGTTTGCAGAACTGGGGAATGAAAATGTGAACCAAAGAACACAAGCAATAATGTTCAAATATGCTTTATTCATTTTAGCCAAATCCTGGACACTATGCAAAGATATAACAGAAAACAAGTAAATTATCATTCAATCTATTCAAAGAAACTACTTATTACACAACCTGTGAAAGAACATATACACTAGAGTTCCTATTGTATGATATTATTTATATGGATTGTAAAACCAGATTAAAGCAGTTGATTAGATTTTGTTGTTGTTTTAATGGCAATTTAGTTACCTTCATGATGTAGTTGAGATGACTACTGAATAGATTGGGCAAGAACTCTAGTGCTGGAAATATATTAGGCTTGATCTGTCAGGGGCTGCATAGTCACAGAAAATGTTAAGTGAGCATCAATCATACCTTCTATTAATACACTTTATACTTTTTGATGTATGTTTGTTATATCTCAAAGGTAAATTATTCGTAAAGCATGTCAGGTCTTTCAGTTGGGAATCTGATGCAAAAGTTAACAAATTGCAACCTTGCTTTTTCTTTTTCTGATTTAGACGTTTAGATCCTATTGTACCCAAACTTACCAGTCTCCCAAGTTACCTGACGAATCTGAAGCCTCCCTCAGAGCAAATTTACGGCTCTTCTGTTATAATAACCTGTTTTTATTTAGTCTGTACTTGGAATCTACACCTCCTGTTTGCTTTCTATCGGTCAAATGACCAACTTGACATTATTCATCTTTTGGGTTTTAGTTTTTCGAGACAGGGTTACTCTGTGTAGACCTGGCTGTTCTGGAACTCACTCTGTAGACCAGGCTGGCCTTGAACTCAAAAGATCTACCTGGCCCTGCCTCCCAGGTGCTGGAACTAAAGGTGTGAGTAACTACAACCTGCCCTGCAGGGTGTTTTTCTTCTGTTTTGTTTGAGACAGAGTTCACTACGTAGCAGATTCCACCTGCTACTCCTTCCCAAGGGCAAGGCTTAAAATCATGGCTCACCATGATAGCTATGTCTATTCAAATTTTCAAAATATCATTTTATTTTAATATATATTTGAAATATATATTTATATATAACTATAATATATTTAAAATATAGCTCATGCCCCGCCAAGGCCCTGACTTGCATTTCCAGCAGCATCTCCCGCCTCCCACCCAAAACTGTGTGCATATATTTATATGATATATATATATGTATATACATACATATATATATATAGGCATATATATATCATAAGGTGTTATCAAACATGGGGGAGGTCACACCTATGCTAAGTCAGTCCTGCTTATTCATCCTCAAGAAGTCAATTAAAGGAGCCAAGATAAACATGGAAAGCAGAAAAGGGGAATTTATTCAAACTGGACACATTAGGAAAAGAGACAAAGAGATCCAGTATCCTTGAAGTCAGTCAGAGTCCTGAAGTGAGATCAAAGTTTAAATCCACATCAAAGGATATGCATATTTAAGCATCATTAGATGGCTGTAAGGTGCTCTGACAAGTTGCTATAACCATGAAATCTCTTTCCCAGGGATAAGTCATTGTGCGTCCCGCTGCCTCACCCTCACCCACACTGACTGATGGCTTTTCCTTCTCTAAGCGTGAGATTCCCTGGGAAATTCCCATTTCTTCGGTGTCTACTGTTTCAAAAGTCTGATAATCTGATAGACATATGTCTTTTTAGAACATTTTCATTGCTGCCAGGCAGGTTACAATATTATCATACTTCAGTATTTGATAAACGTGTGGCATCCCTCCAATACCTATCCTTTCCACACACCATCTACCCACTCTAAGAAGAGAAACCTTCATTCTTTTTATAAAGGGACATTTTATTGACTGGTCCCTAAACAGTCAATTAGCACAGATAACATGAGCTGTTCAAAAAAGAAAAATAAAGGGTATTGGCTTTCCCCACCTCCCCTGGCTCCCGCCATTAGTAATAATGTGAATATTAAAGACCTTAATATGCAAAATCTTACAATGTAGTAAGAAGAATCAAATCTTTTCACTGTCACAATTTTACAAACTTGATTGCCTCTAACATGCCCTTAGCTTAGTCAAATAAACAAATTAGTGGGAAGGTAATAACTGTGAAGTGATGAGAAGGTATTAAATACAGAAAGGCCAATGTAAAAGAAACTTACCAGGCTGTCTTAACTGGTAGAATGCTTGCCTTTCATACATACACAAAAGCCCCAGGATAAACTAGTAGTGGCTGCACACATCCATGGGAGGCAGAGAAGCAGGTAGATCAGAAGCACAAAGAAGCCCGATCAATGTGATATGGAATTAACAGCAACAGTTTTTACATTGGCTCAACAAGACAAGTCAGAAATGCGCTTACAAAACATCGTTTGAGCAGCCGGCAGATTCAGTTTCAGGAAAAAGGTTAACAAGGATCAGGCCACTCCTTAAAATGCACCGTGTGGATACAGTGAAAAAGACTGGGGTAATCTGGTATACTGCATTTTTTTTATTTAAATGTACTAACTGAAATAGATTTTTCTGAGAGAACATCAAAATGTGTTTCACTTCATAAAAGTCAATAGAAAGAAATGTAAAAATATTTAACATAAGAATAAATGGGTTTGTACTACTGGAATGCAATAATCATAAAGCTGGATAGGTGGATTAATTGTCGTACATACCTGTGGATTTTCTGGATTCCTGTGTTTGCTTACTCATGTACATTCAAGTCTTCTTTTTTAGAAACCACTTCTGGAAGCTTTTGGCTTCGATACTGCCACCTGTAGACATAAAAGAGAAATAAAGCATGTTTTATTCATCAGCATTACATCTTTCCTAGGCATCTAACAGAGAAAAACGGGAGGAAAAGTGGCAAAATATTTGCTCCGAAAGACCAACAAAGTGTTTTCTCTCCCAATGCAACTTACCTAAGGCATCTATCTCCTTCCACAATGGTTCAATAAAGTAGTTGATAAGAAACTGAAACATACTAAGTCCCAGGTCATCAACCAAATCACCTTCTGAATAGTTCATTAAAAGATATGGGAGTTCTGCTCACCAACGCTTGGGTATATAGAGAAGGAAAATGAATTCGCATTTGAGACCATCCGGGATACCTACAGGGTTCCAGGCTAGGCTAGGGAAGAAAGGTGGGGTGGGGGGAGGTGTGTGTGTGTGTGTGTGTGAGAGAGAGAGAGAGAGAGAGAGAGAGAGAGAGAGAGGGGGGGGGGAGAAAAGGAGGGAGGGAGGGACAGAGGGAGGGAAGGAGGGAGCAAGGAAGAAGGGGAGAGGTGGGGGGAGGGGGAAGAGAAAGCACGTGCCAGCATAATTTACAGCCATTTCGAGACCTACCATTTAAAATTAGGAGTCAATTTGCCCTGTATAATCTGAGAATAAAGAATTTCATAACTTAACCTGATAAAAAGATAAGGGACGCACGCTAACGTTACTTTATTCCAAGGTCATAAGGTATCTATTTAAAAATAAAAATTCCAGTCTGAATCTGAACAGAGCTTAATTCAATCTAAACAGATTTTCGGTGGGGTGTTTTCGTCATAGTACCCTGGGCCTGATTTGAACATAAACAAATCCGAAAAGATCTTTCCCTACCTTTTATTGATTAAAATACAGATGGATCCTTTTTTCCTTAAAAAAAAAAAAGTCACGGAAAGAACAGAGGAATAAAATATCCATAAGCAATTACCAGAGAATCCAAGCAGCCATAAGATAAAAAGAAGGGTTTGCATCGCAGGGAAAGATAAAGACAAACCTTTAAATTCTGTAGTTAATTGAAAATGAGGAAGCGCCTTGCCCGGGCAGTTGCACCGCAGAGGGCCAGCCCTTCGGAGTGCCCGTCTTCCCAGGACAAGTGGCCGCCTCCTCCCAGGCTCCAATATGTTAAACCAAAGACACAAGAAGCACTTCCCGCGCCCACCCCCTGCTGAGACAGCATTAGACCCCCACCAAACCTGCCTGGCTTGCTACCCGGCCAAGCCCGGGCTTCTTTGCCCACACCACAGACGCATCCCACTTACCCATCGTTTACTTTAAAGCTCGAAAGCTTGTTTTGTTTTACGGAACTGCGCAAATCCTGGAAAACCAAGTCTCCCTGAGACCCTCGCCTCCTCCTTCCTATGATGTTCATTAAAAAGAAAATGAAAAAAGAAAAAAAAAAAGATACCAAAAATCTTCTCCCTTTCCAAGCCCGATCGTATGCTGGGCCATCCCAAAGAAGGTCTTTGAGTACCCTCTAAAGACCAATACCGCTCCCACGTGCCTTCTCGTGCAATGCAAACGAGCACGAGCTCCTGAGGATTGTGTGCGCGGCCAACTCTCGGGGAGGGAAGTTCCGCACACTTATCACCCCAGCCCCCACCCCAGCTCGGACAGCAGGAGGAAGACCCTGGGTGTGGCGATGCGCTGGTACACAATACTCTAGTAACTCCAGCCTTCCCCCCTCCAATCCCCCGCAGTCCTGCCACCAGTCTCCCTTCACCCAGTCCCTTCAGTCCCCGCGGGCTGGGAACAGGGGGCGTCCTGATGGCTGTTAGGTGGGGATCAGGAAGGTTGGAGCGACAGGCTACTACCACCCAGATCGCGAGTGGGTAAAGGGCGTCGTGGTCGCCAGATGCAACATGGAAGCTCAGCTCCTCCAAGGAGTCGAGGTGAGGACCGCTCCCAGAAGACCTGAAGGAGCGAAATCCCACAGGCGATAATTCTCCCGTACCTCTCCCCACCTAGCTCAAGCGCGCGTTCAAGCGCGCACCCTACGGGGCCGAGCACCCTCCTCTAGCAATTGGGACCTGGCCGGCCCTTGCCCACAATGGCCACAGAAACTCTGCTTCCCAGGCCACGGCGACCCCAGAAACGGGCAAGGCGCCACTGCTGTTCGGGGAACCCACCTGAATGCAGGGTGCGCCCGCCGTTGCGCTGTCTCCAGCAGTGGGAAGGCGACGGCCGGGAGACCGCGGGACCCCCCAGGCAGCCTCGCTCACTCGGAGAAGCAGACGGAGCTACCTTAGAGCCAAGAGCTCTGTTCGTCCACCTGGCCTGCAGGTTCTGCAACTGGGTCCAGCGACCAGCCCGAGCCGAGCCTTCATCTCCGCCCCTTTCCCGCCACCCGCGCAGTGCTGCGCTCCGCCCCCTGACCGCCCTCCCCTAGCTGCGGGGGGGGGGGGGGGGAGGACACAGCCCTGGGCTGCCACGCTAAGCCTCGTGTAGCAGCTCCCGGGTCCCAGGCACCCTGGAGGACTGGGGGCGGCCCTGGGATCCGCCCCGACCCCGATCCTCCTAACCTTCCCGCGCTCAACGAGCCGCCAAGGCTATGGGCACTGCAGGCTCTGCCCTGTTCTTCCGCTGTCTCTTCACTCCCTGCCTGGCAACTTCCACCGCCCGGCGGTGACTGCCTCAAGCTTTGTGGGAAGCGGGGTAGAAGTGCTGAGGTGGAGAATCAAGTAAAGAGGAGTAGAATGAACCAGTAAGAGGAGGCAAAGAAATAACCATGTCAACTGGCAGGGGATGGATGCAAGTTGCTGCCTGTGGTTTCTGTTACATTAACTACCTGGATATGCCGCTGTCCTTGTTAAAACCGCAGTAATGTTCAGAGGCACCAGTCTAAAGATTTTCATGCTAATTGGTATTGGGCTGTTGGCATTTGGAGGGGGGGGGCGGGTGGAAGATGATGGCAGACCATAGGCTCCCTCGTTTTTAAAAAAGTTGCATTTCTTATATACGTTGTATAAGCCACCTTTCTCATTTAAAAACAAAAAAAAAATAGATAGCAATAGTTACGGTCTACAGAAACAGATTCAGTGCATATGTATTATTTCAATCTACTGTAATTATATTAATTGGCTCTTTATAAGGTAGATTTTAAGTATTTCATTAAAACAGGCTCATAATTTTGGGATCAGGAATCCCAGTGATTTCATTTGATTTTTGTCTTTATTTCTATCTAAGACGTCATTTCATGAAGATTACTAAATGTAGTTATACAGAAAAATAAATCCTTTTTCTTCTAGATTAACGGTATGTTTAGATCTGGCAAAGAACAAATTGTTTTTAAATCCAAGAAAAACTAAGATTCCCACTCATTAGGGATGATCTGATGATAGCTTTTTCTTTCTTTCTCCTTCAGGCAAACTCCCTTTCTTTTTTGCATTGTCCTTCCAAAATTGCCCCTCAAACATAACTGAGCCTTTTTGAGATTTTATCTTCTTAAAAGGAATAGGAAAATTCCTGATCATTTATTATCAAAAACCATGTGAAGCTCATAATACTAAACTTTCAACCCTGCTTTTAATCATTCATTTAACCTGATACTTGGGAATGAAGGTTTTTCTGTCATAATTGTTTTGAGACAGAATTTCGCTATAAAGCTCAGTCTGGCTTTGAACTCTGGGTTCCCCTACTCCTGAGAGAACCAAGAAATGGTTTGTTTCTATAAGTGCACACTTTTTAATTAACACTGTGAACCAAAATTAAATTTATTAAATTGATTAATAAAAGTACTATATATGTTTCTGTATAAAGTAAGACAACAAGGATGATAAACAGTCCTAAAGCAGACACTCTGAAGTAAAGAAAACAGTCTTTAGCAAAACTGAAGATACCCATTCTGTAGAAAGCATGACAAACATCAGTAATTATGCAAAGAGTGACTGCTGCCTCTTCTCTCTTCGGGTTGTGGTTAGGCCTGCATTTATCTCTTTTGATCATAATAATAAAAATAAAGAAATTCAGCATTCTGGTGACATTGCCTAGTAAATTAGCAATTTTTTTAAGATTTATTTATTATGTATACAACTTTCTGCCTCCATTTATACCCACATGCCAGAGGAGGGCGCCAGATCTCTTTACAGATGGTTTGGAGCCACCATGTGGTTGCTGGGAATTGAACTCAGGACCTCTGGAAGAGCAGACAGTGCTCTTAACCACTGAGCTACCTCTCCAGCCCGTAAATTAGCAATTTTAAAATGATTTTATTACCTAATTAATCCAAGTAAATGCCTCCAATAAATTCAATTTTATTCTAACATTTATTTCTGCTTCCAAAGAAACACTTGGAAGAATTTAAAACAGTTAAGGTAAAAACTAGTAGCAATTGCAAGCCAGATTCTTTGGTTGGATGTGTGATGCTGAAGTTATTATTAAGTGACTTCTGCATATTAAGTTATACGTCAGATATTGGTTCTCAGCTGTTCATTGGCTACATCTATAATGAGTTCTGGTGTGGCCTTGTCTATCCTCTGGAAATGCATTTCATTTCTTTCTATCTACCTTATTGATTCTATCTTTCTCTAAACTATGTCCATTGAGTTTTCAAGACTCAACCCCCGATCTATATATCTCACTTAGCAGATGTCCTTTAGGTTGAATCTCCCTTGAGTTCTTGGTTTAAAAAAAAAAAAAAATTGGTGAGATTAAACATCTAAATTTGGAAAGAGTACTTCAGGCAAAGTTCTCTTTTTAAAACAAAATAATTCGTTATTGATGCTTTGGAAATTTCATACCATGCAACCCAATCCTACTGACCTCCCAGTCCCTCCATATCTGCCCCTTGCCCCTGCAGTATGCCCCCAAAATTAATTTAAAAAATAACAAAAAGAACAAACAATCAAAAAACCCACCTTCATCCCTCCATCCTTCCAACACCTCTTTATCCATCCTAGTGGCATGAGGAGCTGTGGTGTGTCACGCAGTATATATCCCTTTTGTCCAATCAGCTCCACCTGCAAAATGTTCAAGGTCCGGTTCGAAGACTCCAGTTTCTTATGCATCATTGACACTGGACCCTCACCAAAAACTCTTCTCAGATATCCTGCTCTTGCTAAGTCACGAAGATCTCGCGGTTATCATTATGCAGGATCAGTCCCTTCACGCACTATGTCAGGTCATAGATGAAGCCACTGTTAGGGAGGGCCACACCCAAGGCCCAAGATGTAGGTCTGAGTGATAGCTGAGCTGGTTGGCCCTGGACATTGGGACCACCCGCGCAAGCAAGGGGCAGAGCCAGCGGTCCAAGGCCCATACCATTGCGGCCATCTTTCCTGAGTGAGTGCTGGGGTCAACTCTCCCATACTGCAGTGTCCAGCGAGGGACAGAGCCAGCTACGGCCCTCAGATTTCAACACACATGGTTCTTATGATGCCCTGTGGTAACAGGAGTCGTGGACATAAGCCCAGACTCTGACTGCTGTTGGGGCACTGACCCAGAAATGGCCTTGTTCCCAGGGGACAGAATGTCATCATGTCCCCTGGTGGCAGCACAGGCCACTCAGATCAACATGGTTCCAGTGGGGGCACAGCCCTTGGACACCAAAATGGCCACACGTGGCAGTCCACATCCCTGACCCTCCCTGTGGCCTTGTTGCAGCGTGAGTCATGGATGTCAACATTGACCCTGGCTGTCGAAGACACATATATGGCTGTCGAAGACACATATTTGGCTGTAGGCAGCAGCCCAAACCTGGATGCCACCCCCATTCCTCACAGCTCCTGCTTCTTCAGAACTGCCTCTTACCACAGTACACAAACCATTCTGCCTCTCTTTTCACCACCATCTATAAAACACTTGCTCATTATATTGGCACCTGACCCCAGGCATGTAAATGCTTCAGGCAAGCTGAATTGTGAGGACCTAGGCTGCCCCATGGGTGTCTTTAGCTCACCTGAGCCACATAGCATCAGGGGTTCAGGCTTCGTTCTAAGAGATAATAGTTGACTTTCTCAAAATCAGGAAGGTGTGACACATCTGAATAAAAATGATAATAAACCAACAGATCAATTTTGTTCTGGCCAAAATTAAAGCACGATCTCATGATACGTAAAGGGTACAATTCAAATAATTTTCCCTGTGTTTTCTTTCACTGGGACAAACCCTTTGTCCCACCAACCAAGGACCATTAAATTTCTTATTTAGTTCCTGTGCAGTTGAAAAATTTTCATTGACTTTTAAATAAGAATGTGTACTAGATGCTTTCACTGTCCTCAAAAAAATCCAATGGACTCTCTATTTGGTTTTAGAAGTTTTCTTGACATGCCTGCAACATAGGTGAGAACAGACGTGAGCATCCTCAGAGCCCTGGAAAGAGAGTTCTAACTTGCAGTTCATGTTCAAAACAATGGATTAAAACGGGGCATAAACTGTTGTTCTGACAGTTTAATCCCATTGATGTCTTCTCGTCCCAGTTCTCACACCAGCAGAAAGCTACTAAGTGTGTTAGCATTCCCACTTGAGAAGATGTCACCTGATAATTGTTTTGTAAATTTTGTCCATTTACCACTTAAGCCATAAACCTGAACATAATAAAGTATTCTCTCCTTTTTCCTTGTCATTGAGAATTGATTTACAAGACCGTGATGGGAAAGCTTTTTTGACATTTGCCACTCTGGCTCTGAGAAAAGCACTAAATTTCTTTACTTTGGATGATTAGGATAAGTGGGCAACATCATTGATTTAAATTTGCAGAATGTGAATTACTTTAATTGGTCTCCTCGTGTTAGGGAAATAAGTCAGCAGTTACCACACAAGACAATGAGGATAGAGACAGTATCACCCATCTATTTCTCAAATTGAAATGTTACTGCTTTCAAGGAACTTCAAAATAGCCAAAAGCCAACAGTTGGATTTAAAGCTTATTTTTTTATTATTTATTTATTTATTAAAGATTTCTGTCTCCTCCCCGCCACCGCCTCCCATTTCTCTCCCCCTCCCCCAATCAACTCCCCCTCTCTCATCAGCCCAAAGAGCAGTCAGGGTTTCCTGCCCTGTGGGGAGTCCAAGGACCTCCCACTTCCTTCCAGGTCTAGTAAGGTGAGCATCCAAACAGCCTAGGCTCCCACAAAGCCAGTACGTGCAGTAGGATCAAAAACCCATTGCCATTGTTCTTGAGTTCTCAGTAGTCCTCATTGTCCGCTATGTTCAGCAAGTCCGGTTTTATTCCATGCTTTTTCAGACCCAGGCCAGCTGGCCTTGGTGAGTTCCCGATAGAACATCCCCATTGTCTCAGTGTGTGGGTGTACCCCTCGTGGTCCTGAGTTCCTTGCTTGTGCTCTCTTTCCTGATGGAGGAAGGTCATTGGCTAATAAAGGAACTGCCCTG